ATAAGCACACCACAGCTTTGTGGCCTGAGCAAATCATTGATATTGCAGTCTCTTTTTCCCTAAGTGAAATATCCTACTTAAGGAAGGTGAACTTCCTTCTTTGACCATCTAAACCGCTCAAAAATAATAGGAATGGTTCACCTATTTGAGAAGCTCTCTACTGCTCAAAGAATTAGCATGGTAAAGCTGGAAGGCTCCTTAGGGATTAAGTTCAGTGTGGCTCCCAAATTTGTTACTCATTAGTAACTTCATTGTTACTTCTGATCTCGTCCTTATAAAAACAGAAGATTCCTAGACCCTATTCCTGATTTAGAAAGATTCAGGTGTAGAGTTCAGCATCATTTTGTTGTCGTTTTTTCAGTGTCTCAAGGGACAAGATTTGGGAACCACAGATTCAATGCACTACTAGTCAAAAGCTCGTAGTACAATCGGCATTCCAGTTCACAGCTCCCCCTCTCTACTACAGAGGGTCCTCCTCCGCAAGCCCTCACCCCAGACCAGTGGTTGCAGAATTCAAGGACAGGCCACTCTGGTTCGCCTCCTGCCCGAAGTCGTTCCTGGGTACCTGGACCCCACGCGGTCGGGCACCCTAGGGCAGGGGCCGGGCGCTGAGGCGGACGAACCTGTTACAGAACAGGCAGGGGGTCTGCTGCTTGTCGTGTGGGAGATCAGCATCGTCCTCATCCTCCCAGGCGGCCTCGTCCCCGCTGTCCGACAGTTCTGGCAGGTCCTCCTCATCCTCCACAGCGCCCCGGCCGCCTAACACAAGCACAACAATCAGATCGGCCTCGGACACCGGTGCGGCCCGGGCGCTCGAGGAACAGGTGAGAATGGGCTTTCCCACTCCTGTTCGCCCGCGGCCCTCACTCAGCACCCACTCCGTGCTCCCTGGGAGCCCCCCACCCCACACGGGCCCGCGTCCCAGAGGGTATTCCACCGGCCCCACAGAGGCGCGGCCTGGGGGTGAGCGAGCCGGGTGCTGGGGGGTCAGGGGTACCCACCGGTAGCGCCTGACGCTAACGAGCACATGGCTGTGGTGCCCGAAGAGCCCGCGTGTCTGGGGGCAGGGACCGGGTTGGGCACCGGGTTGGGCAACGAGCGCGCGCAGCGGCCGCCAACTCCGGTAACGAGCGCGAGCACAAGCGCGAGCCCGCGGCAGGACCGGGGCTCCGGGAACTTCAAGGACCGCCGGGAACGGCAGAGCGCGCGCGCTTCCGGCCTCGAGGTGCGGTGCGGGTCACGTGAGGTGGGGGCGGGGCGAAAACGGGGGCTCCACCTTCTCCTGCCGCAGGGTTGACGCAGCGCGCACTGAGGAGGCGCGCTGATGACGGTGAATGTTGCAGCCCAGGAGGTGGCTTTTGTCCCTTCCTTGGACTGCGGCAGGCATTAGCCGGAGGTCCCGGCCCGCAACCCTGAGCCCCGAGGCAGAGCGACGCCGTGGAGGTTTTGCTGTTGGCATCCTGTCCTCTGTTCGCCCCACAGAGCGGTTAGCCGTGAGCAGTTAGCGGAGGGGCGACCGGCCCTTAACGCCCTCTGGTGGCGGAGGAGGCCAAATGCTGGAGGCTCGGCTGGTTTCTGGGCTCTCAGGTCCTGGAGTGGGTGCAGCTGGCGAGAGGGAACGAACTGTATGGGCCTGGATGGGTCTACTGCAGGGACTGATAGTAGCCAAAGCCCCCAAAATGGATTTTAATCTTTGGTTAACTGAGAGCGTGAACTCTAGAGGCAGCTTACTGGGTTTGAATCCTACCCACGTCACTTGGTAACTATTGAGCAAGTTACTCGACCTCTCTCAGCCTCAGTTTCATCAAATACAAAACCAGGATAATAACTGCACTAACCTCAGCACTATAGTAAGGACAAAATGAGTTAATACATGTAAAGTGCTGAGACACTTGGTCCTAAACAATGGGAAACGGTTGAACTATTTTTAAGCCAAGGCAGTGATGCTCTCGGATGTGTTGAGAAAGTAACATTCTGGTTGCTGTGTGGGGAAGAATGCAAATGTTTCCCTGCCTGCCTCATGCCACTTCCTTCTTCCTTTCCTAATATCTATTCAAACCATAGATTTCTTTTTTTTTTTTTTGAGACTGAGTCTCGCGCAGTTGCCTGGGCTGGAGTGAGCGATCTCTTCTCACTGCAACCTCCACCTCCCAGGTTCACATGATTCTCCTGCCTCAGCCTCCCGAGTAGCTGGGGTTACAGGTGCACACCACCACACCCGACTAATTTTTTGTTATTTTTTTAGTAGTGACGGGGTTGCACTAAGTTGGCCAGGCTGGTTTCGATCTCCTGACCTGGTGATCTGCCCGACTCCGTCTCCCAAAGTGTTGGGATTACAGGTATGAGCCACTAATTCTTTCTTAGGCCAGCATTCTTTCGCAGGAGGGCGTGCCCCAGGCTCTAGCACAGTTTAAATTGGCCTACCAGGCTCTGCATAATCCTGCTTCTTTCCAACTCGCCCTCAAGCCTTTTATTTACTGCTAATCACCGAATCCTCTACAAGTGGGTAAATCCTTTTGGTCTCAACCAGAAACACTTTCCTCAAGCCACCATTTCCAAAATAGTTTCCACCATTGTTTCAGAAGTATCTTGTTCGTTTCTTAGCACCTACCATTTGCTTACTTGATTTTTTTTTTCTTTTTTGGTGATACCCCACAGCACTGCACAATAAGGGTAAGTAAGGGCCATGTCTCTTTACTTTCATTTCTCTGGCACATAATAATATATGGCCTGGCCCATAGTATTAATGGACACTGAATTTATTTACTGAATGAAAATTATACGTTATATATTGTTAAATGTATTTCTGAATGTACTCCTTTCCCTTAATTGCAAATTCCTAAAGGACAGAATCTGTCAAATAATTAGTTTGTGGGTTTTTTTTTTCTTTGAGACAGAGCCTTGATCTGTCACCCAGGCCGGAGTGCAGTGGTGCGATCTTGGCTCACTGCAACCTCCACCTCCTGGGTTCAAGCAATTCTCCTGCCTCAGCCTCTGAGTAGCTGGGACTATAGGCGCCTACCACCACGCCTGGCTAATTTTTGTGTTTTAGTAGTGGTAGGGTTTCACCATGTAGGTCAGGCTGCTTGAACGCCTGTTCTCCCGTGATCCACCCGCCTCGGCTTCCCAAAGTCCTGGGATTACAGGCGTGAGCCACTGTGCCCGGCCCAAATATTTGTTTTAAAGCTTTCTTACATTCTAGGACATTGCCAAAATAGCTGCTGGCTCCCTTGAGTTGGAGTCATTGTTCATGGATGAATCCCCAGTGCCTATGTGCTCAGTGGTTGGTAGGAGGCACTTAATAAGCATTTGCTGAATGAATGAATTAATTAAACACTTTTGATTACCTGGGCGCATCCAACTTTTCCCTTCATCCTTCCAACATAAACTTTTTCTGTGTAAAATGTGGTGGAAAACTTCCTGAATCCCTTAGTACTAAATGGAACACTCAGTCCATTCATTGCTGACAGTAAAACAAGTTAACACCCAGTGTGGAGGATTGGCCAAGAGTCTTGTTCTTAGTAAGTTCTTATCTCACCACAATGCAGAGCTCAAGAGAGGGCTACTTTTCTCTCTACTCCCAAGGTGAACACAAACCCTTCCTCATCCCACATCACTACTGAGACCATAATAACATGTTGAATAAAACCTGCTCGAAGGTTTGTAAGGAAATAATATAAGGAGAATAACTTAAAACAGGCCACTGGTTTTAGCTGCTTTCAGAGCCCAGAGGCCTCACCATATCCTCAGCCCATGCTTTTTCACCACCAAAACCACACATTTAGACTCTTCAAAGTCCAGCTCCCAGGGAACCCCATCTGGCAGGAGGAAGATAATTCCATTTCTTTCTAAAGCTCACATTTCAAGATTCCACCCTGCCCTAAATTATGCCTCTTTTCTGGGTGACTGACATTGGGAATGTCTACTCCCTTCTAAGGATATACACCCCAAATTAAAGGGCATGGCCTTTATCCTCCAGTGTATAATGAAGCTTGAAATGTACTTGGCATACTGTAGGCCTTGGAAAAATTGACTGAATCACTCAAATCACTTTGCTTCCCTGGTGTAGATGTTAAGTTTCACCAACATCTTTTGTTCCATGATGGAAATTAGCAATGTGTGCTCCTCTTGGCTTTGACCCTTTTTTCTGCATCTTCCTTTGTCTTAATTTTTAAAGTGCAGCAGCATGAGCGCTTTAAAGTTTGGTGGCATAGAATTTTACTGGCTATGTGAACATTTTGTGGTTAATCACTAGAACAAAGGAGAAACCCAAATATTTCAGTTTTGTTCATCCACAACATGTAGTAACAATTAACTGGAACTACCTGGAAATATACAGAAACAGAGTGATCTTGCAGGGTGGTTAAAAACCCGATCTGTGAGCTCTATGGGATCAGGCAGACCTGTGTTAGAATCCTGACTCTGCCATTTCTTAGCTTCAGTTCTTCAGCTTTGGACTCTTGAGCAAGGCACTTAACCACAGTGAGCCTCATTTGCCCATGTAAGACATGAAGATCATGATAGTATAACTTTATAAGGATAGCTTATAAGGAGGGTTAAAGCACAGAAAACACATGTAAAGCCTGGTACTTAGTAAGCATATCACCCCACAGGCTGAAATGCTGCATATCACCACTACTACATGGGCATTTTCTTTTCTTTTTTTTTTTTTTTTTTTTTAGACAGAGTCTTGCTCTGTCACCAGGCTGGAGTGCAGTGGCACAGTCTTGGCTCATTGCAACCTCCACCTCCTGGGATCAAGTAATTCTTCCACCTCAGCCTCCCAAGTAGCTGGGACCACAGGCGCGTGCCACCACGCCTGGCTAATTTTTTTTGTATTTTTAGTAAAGGTAGGGTTTCACCATGTTGGCCAGGATGGTCTCGATCTCTTGACCTTGTGATCTGCCTGCCTCAGCCTCCCAAAGTGCTGGGATTACAGGCGTGAGCCACCGCGCCTGGCCATTACATGGGCATTTTCAAACAATCTAAGAGGTACCCAAGAGTTGACCATTTATCTTTATTCCTTTATTTAATCTTCCACATGTATTCTTAGGTATATAACTTCTATTACATAAAGAAGTAGTAAAGGCACAATGTTTACTTACAAGTTACATGTAGCTAATTAGCACTTTTGTAATTCAGAGAGATGAATGTCAACAATTTTAGAGCAGAGCTCATATGCATGGTCATAAGATTTTCACTGTTGCTGTGACTCTGCAGACAGTCATTTCAAAACAGGCCTCCCAACCAGTGGCATCAGAACCGGTGGCATCAGGGGAAGTATAAACAAGGAAATTACACATTATTGTGCCCACACTCCCAGAAATTTTGACTCAAGTTTGAGATCGGGCTTACAAATCTTTATTTCTCCAAAGCTCCCTGGGTGATCTATATGTATAACAGACTCTGAACCAGAGATGCAGCGCACCATCATTTCTTGATTGGAATGGATGCCTGAGAATAGTAAAACAACAAAGTTAAAACATGCTGACTCTTTTTAGACCCTGAAATTACTGATTTGGTGATGAGTGTTAAAGTTGACAGTAAAAACCATTACTCCAGTGTGGTCATGGCTTGAGAGAGCCATCCGCTTTCCCCAGATCGTGGATGGCCTTGTTCTCCAGCAGTTCCATCTTCTTGTCGCTTGGTCTCACTGCATTGTTCAGCATTGCTCTAACCACAGTCGCCACAGGCACAGAATGCCCACTAGCCCAAGATGCTGGTAAGGAGCCAAAGAACTTTCTAACGAACCATTCACCTGGGCGAGATTCTTGCCTATCACATAACAGAACTCTTAAAAAAAAACAGAAAGAAAAGCAGAGGAAGAGGTAGTAAATTGCACTGAGACCACAGTGGGCATTATGGACCAAACTGTATCCCCTCAAAATTCTAATGCTGATGCCCTAACCCCAATGTGTCTATCTTTGAAGATAAGGCATTAAGAGAAGTAATTAAGATTAAATGAGGTCTTAAGGATGGAACAGGACTAGGGTGATGGGACTGGGGTCCTCATAAGAGGAAAAGACATCAAAGGTCTCTCTCTCTCTCTGCATACATAAAGAAGGCCATGTGAGGACACTACCAGAAGGCCGCCTATCTGCCAGCCAGGAAAAGAGGCTTCACCAGATATCAACCCTGAGGGCACCTTGATCTTGGACTTCCAATCTCCAGACCATGTGAAAATAAATATCTGTTGTTTAAGCTACCCAATCTGTGTGGTATTCTGTTATGGCAACTGGGGGAGATTAATACAGTAGATTTAAGGTTTTATTTGGTGCATGAAGAGGATTCAAGAAGGCAGCAAATGCTGCCCAGGAAGTTCCAGACTATTCTGAAGTGGGCCACCATCTACCCTTTCTAAGCAAAAAGGTGTGTCCTTCAGAGAAGCAATCCACCTCTAGCCAATGTCTTTCATATCTTAGATATTTTAGCTGTCAGCCTTCTAGCATCTAGGGAGTAACCAACAGTGGCATACTCTCAAACAGTATACATACTGTACTTACCCAGGCCTAAATACAGAGTAACGATCAAATTTTAATTCTTCAACCCTAGCTTCCACTTCTCCCTATTCAGAAAAAACACATTTTTAGTATTTAATCAAGACCAGCTCATCTGTGTGAAGTTTAAGACAGAATAATTTGCGGTTTTGAAGATAATCTGCTTTTGCAGTTCTCAATACTCAAAATATATAGAATTTTAGGTTCCAAGGAGTTTGGGATATTAAGAAAGAGATCATTTAATCTCGATATGTAGTAGTGCATTTAAAAGATCCACTAAATGAGTGAATGGCTGCATAGTCAGTCCTCTCACTTTATTGATATTAAAACAGATTCAGTTAGTACAATCATAAAAGAAAATCCTCCCTTTAGTCCAGAAATCATGTTGCATGCTAGCAGACACTAACCTTTTTTTGGTTTATAGGTAGTTCCAGTGGGTCAGAAAACCCATAGACCCACCATATTACTCACTTCTTAAACCCCACAAAATTTTAAGACAGACAGATTATGTCTAGATGATGCTTTAAATCTAATTTGTTAAAGCATGAATTTTCATGGCAGGCATCTCTGGAAACAAAATCTTTGAGGAGCTCCGACCACAGGCACGTTCAAAGGCCTGTGAACTACCACTCACACAGTGATCCAGTCTTCCTTCTCTGCCTGTGTGTACCACTCAATTGGCATATAACCTGTCACATCATAGACTCATATACCTATTTTTAAATATCTTTGTCTTCTTTAAAATTTTTTTATTATTTTTTAAAATTTATTTATTTTTGTAACAGAATCTCACTCTGTCACCCAGGCTAGAGTGCAATGGCACCATCTTGGCTCACTGCAACCTCGATCTCCTGGGTTCAAGCAATTCTTCCGCCTCAGCCTCTCGAGTAGCTGGGATTACAGGTACCCGCCATCATGCCCAGCTAATTTTTGTATTTTTAGTAGTGATGAGGTTTCACCATGTTGGCCAGGCTGGTCTTGAACTCCTGATCGCAAATGATCCAACCACCTGGGCCTCCCAAAGTGCTGGGATTACAGGCGTGAGCCCGCCATGCTCGGCCATTCTTTTTTTTTTTTAATAGGTGGTTTTTAGAGTAGATACAGAACTGTGCAACCTTCATCATAATCTAAGTTTTAAAATATTTCATCACCCTGAAAAGAAATCCCATATCATTAGCAGTCACTCCCCATACCCTGCCCTCTGGGGACCTAGTCAACCACTAGTCTACCTTCTATCTCTATAGATCTGCCTATTCTGGACATTTCATATGAATGGAATCATATAATATGTGGCCTTTTGTGACTGGCCCCTTACACTTAGTATAATTTTCAAGGTTCACCCATGTTGTAGTGTGTATCATTTCTTTTTATAGCTGAATAACATTCACTGTATGAATATATCACATTTTATTCATCTATTCATTAGTCGATGGCCATCTAGGTTGTTCCCACTCTTTGGCCATTATCAATAATGCTGCTATGAACAGTCATACACTAGTTTTTATGTGGACACACATTTCTTAGCCTTTTAGAAGATGTGTTTAGTCTCTATTAGCAGTGTGCATAAAAGGGATACCATAGCAGGCTGAGACTATGAAAGTCCTGTTGCAAGGTTGGCCCCTGGCTTGTGCTTGCAAACTTGGATTTTGGGTGTGTTCCCACCATTCCCTATCTGATAAGGATAACGTACTATGCCTAAACTCTCTGTACAAACAATGTGGTTTATACTGAAAACTTGCTTTTCTTCTGGAGGGCTGCAATTTTGCTAGGCTGATGTGCCTATGTAACTGGCTCCCATAAAAACCCTGCATTCCTAGGCTCAGATGAGTTTCTCTGGCAGAAAACATTCATTGCTGGAGATATTAAGTGCATCCTGTGCAAGATCTATTGGAAGCGGCCTCTTGCAAGCTTGTACCTACTTTCTTCCAGACTTCACCCTACACACCTTTTCCCTTTGCTGATTTTGCTCTATATCCTTTCAATATAATAAGTTGTAGCTGTGAGTATGACTATAGGCTGAGTCCTAAGAAACCTTCCAGTGAATTCCCAAACTTGAGGGTGTTTTTGGGGATCCCCCAATACAAGCAGATTATAAACTCCTTAAGATCAAGGATGATACCCAATAATAAAGTATCACATCTGGAAAGCGTACCTTCATCCTGAACAGATGAGGAAACCAAAGCTTATAAACCCTGTGAACAGAGGATAGGGCCCATCTAGTGCTCTGGGCTCCATACCCCGACACATCTCCCCACAGCATCAGCAGAGTGCCCATAAAGCACATGATTGATCCAGGCCCCCAGAGCTGGCCCACCATGAATGAATGCAACTGAAACTTCATTGAGTAGAATAAACGTTCCTAATGAATATTTATTGCTATGTAAATGCTAATTATCATGAAGGAGCTAGACATAGGAACCCATAAAGAATGGTGCAAGGACTTAAAGGTATTTTGCCTGGGAAACATAGAGTTAAGGAGGCCATAATCTCCAAATGTCTTAAAAACTACAATGCAAAAGAAAGACTGGACTTGTTTTTGTTATTTTAAAAGGCAGAACTGATAACAATTAGGATTTACTTAGCAATAAATTTCACTTCAAGGTAAAGACTTTTGGACAAGTGGATCTGACCAAAAATAGAAAAAGTTGGCTAATGAGATAGTAAACTCTGTTGTGCTGGAGGTATTTAAGCAGAAGCGAGATGAACTTCTATAAAAGGACTTCACTTAGGAAAAGTCTATGGCTGAATGACCTCTGTGGCTCTGCTTCTTAAACTGTGGGCACTTGGGGTACAATGGGAGGCACACAAACACAAAGCCTTGCCTTATCTTCCGGCAGCATCAACTTAACTCAAAGGTTAGTTAATAGAAACCTTTTAAATTAAAATAAACAGGGATATGTATAGTACTAAGAATAGCAAAATGTGCATAAATTTTTGAAAGATAAAATAAGACTTTTAATAAAGTTGAGGCCAGGTGCAGTGGCTCATGCTTGTAATCCCAACACTTTGGGAGGCTGAGATGGATTGCTTGAACTCAAGAGTTTGACAACAGCCTAGGCAAGATGGCGAAACCTCATCTCTACCAAAAATACAAAAATTAGCCAGACATGGTGGCTTGTGCCTGTAGTCCCAGCTACTTGGGGGGTTGAGATGCGAGGATCACTTGATTCTCCAGAAAGCGGAGGTTGCAGTAAGCCAAGATCACACCATTAAACTCCAGCTTGGGAACCTGTCTCAAAAAAAAAAAAAAAGAAAGAAAGAAAAAGAAAAGAAAAAGTTGAGCTTATAAACAGAATATTGCTTTGGAATAGATGTCTTCAAATCTCCAGACAAATAAAAGCTCTTCTTTCATCTCAGCCATTAAGGAAACTGATGGAAAAGTTTAAGAATCACTGCCTCCAAGTCTCTTCCAATGCTAAGTTGCCATCCTGACAGTCAAGGCCGGAGATGCCATATCTCATTCCATTTGTTGCTGGATAATTAATAGAGAGGAAGACATTGGAAATTATCTTTCAAATCATTCCTGTTTACTAAATATATTCCTGCAGTCCTGTAGCCATAAAAATGCATAATATAATGTATTTGATGTTTTTTGTATTATATAGAATTTTGTATTCTTTAGTACCACCAAATAGCTAGGGTTCTTTAAAGTGTATGAAAGACAGAAACATGCACAAACCTTAACTTGTAGATATAAAAAACTGCTTGACTTATCAGCTCCTTTAGAGGATAGCAAGTTGAAATGTTTGCACCCTCCAGCTTTTGCCAGCTCTGCAGACCTCAGCACATAATCTCGGTCAACCCGAACAAATCCCTCCTGAGGGGGAAAAGGACGTGAGTTATTTCCAAAAAGCAGCAAGTTCATCTTAAAGATTACTACTTGGCTTGGGTAGCAGGCTGGGAGGCCTGGAGAGATGGAGATCTAAATAAAATGTGTCCAAGCAATACGTGAAACTCAGGCTTAGACCTTGGGAAAGGCTCCAGGTCTGGTCCTCCGGATAGACATACCAGCTGTAGCAGCAAGGCTGGACTGCAATAAAGAAACAAGGACGATGACATTGAAACACAGACACCAAACAAATCTGCAAAGAACTAAGGGAACAATAAGACCAGGCTGAGAAATTATTTTTAAGCCACACATATTTTTCTTTGTCTTAATAACTTTACAACTTACACTTTTCTATGTTTTCTCTTTCTTTTTTGTTCTGTGCTGATTCTCACGTGGTAGGGTCTCTGAGTATGGGTGAGGATACTCCCCAGGCACTAAGAGAACAAAGTCTATTTAATTCCCAATTTTTCTGTACCTCACACATTAGTAAGGAATGCATCCTCAATTTTTTTTATTAGTGGGTCTATAATCAAAAATGTTTGGAGACACCCAGTCTAGATTCAATCCAGTGAAGGGTAGTGGCTGGGTCTTTTTAGTTAATTCATCTCTGAGCATCAGCACATGTCCAGCATATGGTAAATGCTCCAAAAATGAATGAACAAAAATCCAACGAAAGCAGAGAAAAGGTAAATCCAGATGGAAAAAACAGAACTAAGTGGCAATAAAAGGAGATGGGTAGAGAATGACACAAATAACAGAATATAGACTCATTTCCAGGGCCTAACTGAAAGACATGCACCTTTACCCAGAAAAGGGAATTCCATAGAGTAACGGTCTCTTGAGACTACCATAAATTCTGGCATCCTCAAACCCAAGACAGCTGAAAAGAAGTCTAAAGTCTATTGAAGCTGAACTTCACAGATAGTCACAATCATAGAATCAGATCTTACAGTAGTAGGAAATCCAAATCTGAAGACTGGATTACTGCCCAAATAATAATTTTTTTTCTTTTTTTTGAGATGAAGTCTTGCTCTGTCATGCAGGCTGGAGTGCAGTAGCGTGATACCCGCTCGCCACAGCCTCTGCTTCCCGGGTTCAAGCAATTCTCCTAGAAGCGATTCTCTTGCCTCAGCCTCCTGAGTAGATGGGATTATAGGCATGCAACACCATGCCCGGTTAATTTTTGTATTTTAGTAGAGGCAGGGTTTCACCATATTAGCCAGGCTGGCCTTGAATTCCTGACCTCAGGTGATCTGCATGCCTCGGCCTTCCGAAGTGCTGGGATTACAGGCATGAGCCACCCATGCCTGGCCTGATTTTTCATTTGAAAATTTGCTCTGTAGTAGTAACTGATTCTAAATGTTCTATTTGGTATGGTGATATGTATCTTTCATGGAATGTTAGAAGGGACCTCAGGAAATATTACATCCAGTTCCCTCATGATGTAGATGGGAACCAAGGTCCAATGGTCAGGCTGCCAGCTGGGAAGTAGGAGAGCTGACAGCAGAGTGCAGATTCTGGACTCTGAGCAGTGCTCTTTTCCCTGTACCCATGTTCCATCTTATCTCCCACTCTCTCACTGATGAAAATGACTAATCCGTAATTAGGGTAGGAAGAATAATGGCCCCTCAAAGATGCCCACGTCCTAATCTTTGTGAATATGTTAGGTTACATGACAATAGGGAATTCCATCATAGATGGCATTTAGGCAGAAGCAAGATGAATCATGCTAAAAGAACAATGACAAAAAAAAAAAAACTGAATTTATTTCACTAGTCAACTGTGCAATTTTGTTGTGAGTAATAAACCCGTTATTAAAATCAGAGTTCTAGTGAACCAGCATGAGGGGAAGAAATAGATGTGGAAGAGAAATTCAGTGTTTTTGAAATTCAGCGTTTAGAATTAGGGTGCTAATCAGCTGACCTTGAAATACAGATGTTAGTCTGAATTATCCACATGGGCCCAGTGTAATCACAAGGGCCCTTAAAAGTAAAAGAGGGACACAGAGAGGAGGTTAGAGTGATGCAACATAAGAAGGGCTTGGCTACCACATTGCTGGCCTTGAGGATGGGAGGGGGACCACAAGCCAAGGAATGGGGGGGGCCTCTAGAAGCTGAAAAAGGTATCGAAATGGTTTCTCTCCTACAGCCTCCCAGAAAGGAATGCAGCTCTGTCAACACCTTGATTTTATCTCGGGGAAACCCATGTCAGACTTCTAAGATGATAAATTTGTGTTTTCTTAAGCTGCTAAATTTGAGGAATTTCTTAAAGCAGCAATAGGAAACTAATACAGAATTCAATTTTAAAACAATAGGCCCATGCGGATTTTCTAACTTTGTATGGAAGTATATCATAAAAGTAAACATAAGTATAGAGCTCAAAAAATTTTCATAAACTGAACATGCTCTGCCTCTAATTCCTAGATCAAGAAATGGAACATTACCATTACCCTAAAAGCCTTCCTCATCCCCCTTTCCCATCACTCACAAGTACATTTGTAACTATATCCACCACCTGGAGGACACTATTATTTTTCTGCCTTACATTTTCTACCTTAGTTTATGGGTAATATTAACTTACCTTTTTACCCATGAGTCATCACCATCTCCTTTTGTGTTGTATACTTTGACACTGAATTCTAAACAACAGACTTGCCAAGCTGTCTACATACAGACTCAAATTCATGCTACTGCTTTTAAAATCAGTGTAAAGCAAACCAATTTTAATACTCAGCACATCCTGAGAGAGGTGATTATCCTCAGAGCCATTCTCCAGATTGAGACTTTAGATGTGCTGAAAGTGTGCCAAGAAACAGCCCAAAACTACATAGAAAAATTCTAAAACACTAAATTTTTCTTCCACATCTATATCTTCCCCTCATGCCAGTTCACCAGAATTCTGATTTTAACGACAGTTTATTCACAACAAAATGACACAGCTGACTAGTGAAAGACACACAGTTTTTTTTGTTGTTTTAGCACAATTGATGGGAAGGATTAGTATAGTTGTCTCTGTCAAAATACGTTTTCTTTCATCTGCTTCTTTAAAAATAAGGGAAAGATTCAGCCAATCACAAGTCTCTGAACCGACGCTGTCTCTCTCACTTAATCCAGAGCCGGTAAAAGGATAATTTGATTAAACTGAGACCCTAATTTATTTGGCTTTAGTTCTGGATCAACTTCTCCTTAATAGAGTGCTGTCGTCTCCAATTGTTGGATGAAAATTAAAGTGACATAAATACCATGGGACTTTTTCAATCTGATTAGTCAGCTAAGGCACATCAATACCACCCCAGCCATCAGACTCTGGCGTCCTTCCTTTCAACAGCCTCGCTAACAACTGACAACCACTCCTTGAAGGACGAGCACCCACGCTGCTGCAGAGACCCCCACACTTAGCCCATCATCCCTGCTCAATGGGGCCTGTTGACAAGGTGCCCATACCTTTCTCCATTGCTGTTCTCTGGACAAAGCTAAATATTGTTTTATTAGCAATCAATGGCTGTTAATCCAAAACGATTTCGCAAATCCTCTGAGCCTTCAAGCTGCTTATAAATAGGCGTTTTTCCAAGCCCACTAAATTTTGAATTTCACTTCCGTCACCCTGATGGCGTGGCCTTTTAGTTGGTGAATGAAACTCAAAGGCAAAAGGGTCAACAACTTTCAAAGACTTAAAAATCAAACTGAAGCATGAGTCCTGGTGACTGACTAGGAGATATCAACACGCACCAATTTTCTTTGGAGTGAGGAACATTCTACTTACAGATGAAAGGAGCAATCTTTAAAATCTTATTCATACCCTTTATTGTTCTCCAATAGCTCGATTAAAAAACAATAGAAAAACTAAAACAAGCTACTTCATATCTCAGAAACACAATTTTTGGAAAAATCGTACTTAGTTTCCCTAACCATGTGGCAAGATAAAAGACAGACATTTCTTCTGACAGTATTAAGTCCATATGTCATTGTGTCTTCATAAGCTAGTGTGTCTTACTGTAAGCTAGGAACCCAAGTCCCTTCTAGAAAAAGGAATTAATTAAATAAGTTCCCACTATAAAGTCCTTCCCCAGCACCCTCTCAAAAAGAATAAACACAGTATACCACACTCAGTAGAAATATCCTCATAGGCTCCACAAGCATCAAAGGCAAGAAATTCTCCAACTACTCTTAAGTCTTACTAAAATCCAAAGCTACTAAATATTTCGTCTAATCTTACTTACCAGTGCCTGAAAACTACGAGCAACACTCTGGCTTAAGAACAACTCATCCTAACAAGGTATAGTATTTCAGTGCTGACTGATAACACAAGTAAGCACATCTAAATGACTCAAGGTCATGGGGCCAGGCATGATGGTCTGTGGTTCCAGCTACTCAGGAGGCTGAGGCAGGAAGATTGCTGGATCCCAGGAATTTGAGTCTAGCCTTGGCAATACAGTGAGACCCTGTCTCTAAAAAATTAATTGATTTACTAAAAATTAATTTACTAAAAATCATGGGGATCTTTTTCCAAGAAGGTACGTCTATCATTCCGTCTCACTTTTGTCCCACTTGGTCATATTTCTGCTTCAGGTTCTTTCTCCTTCACTCCCTTTTCAATCCAACCTATAAATTAGACCAGAAAACAAAGATGCTGATGGACACCAAATGGTATAATCTGAGGCACCTTTTGTTTGTGTCCTGGAGGGCATCTATATATTTGATGTTCAACAGTAGGAGAAGGATCTTGGTTAGGGAAAGAACTCTGGATAGATAAATAAAATGAAGCAGATTCTGAGGATTCCTGGGTCAATCTATATGTTCTCAAAAAAAGTTTCCCATTTGGGGCATTCTTCTATGTTTCAGAGAGTCAAAGAATTATGCAGGCCAGTGCGGTGGCTCATGGTAATCCCAGCATTTTGGGAGGCTGAGGCAAGCAGATCACTTGAGCTCAGGAGTTCAAGACCTATCTGGGAAGCATGGTGAAACCCTGTCTCTACAAAAACACACAAAAATTAGCTGGCAGCGGTGGGGTGTGCCTGTGGTCCCAGCTACTTGGGAGGCTAAAGTGGGAGGATTGCTTGAGCTGGGTAGGTCGAGGCTGCAGTGACCAAAATCGCACTGCTGCAGTGAGCTGAAATCACACCACTGCACTCCAGCCTGGGTGACAGAATGAGACTCTGTCTCAAAAAAAAAAAAAAGAGAAATGTTTAAGAATTTTGCGGTAGGAAGGCGGGTTCACTGGTCATGTCCCTCTGACAGACAAGTAGGCAGTGGCCTCCAAAAGCTAACCAGCAAACTCCAGGCTCCACAGCTACTTGGCATCCAAACAGGGCCTGTGATCTGGGTCCCTTGAACCAGCTAGGACCTTGCCACTTCACAAGCCCCCTCCTAGACATCAAATAAAACAACAGAGATTAGAACAGGGGTGGGCAAACTTTTCCTGTAAAGGATCAGACAGTAACTATTTTTAGCTTTGCAGGCCTCCATTCCAACTATATAGCTCTACCATTATATTAATAGCACAAAAGCAGCCACTGATAATACACAAAGTAATGAGCATGGCTGTGTCCCAACACCACTTTATGTATAAAGACTAAAATTTGAAGTTTTTACATTTTCACGTGGTATGACATTATTCTTTTGAATTTTTTAACCATTTAAAAATATAAAGGCATTCTTAGCTCACAGGCTGTACAAAAACAGGTGGCAAGCTGTATCTGGCCCACAGGCTGTAGTGCAAACCTCTGAATTAGAAGAGTAGATCACTAGAATCAGAAGCCATGAGATTCTAAGAAAGCCTAATAAATGTTACAGTGGCCACATTAATCACATTAATGACATCATCCACTCAACAGCATCTAGGAATCTGGACTTCTGGAGCCTACTACTACCAGGTGAGGAGACAACTGGAAAGGTGAAACCACATCGAACCACCTTGAATTCACTAATCAAATCCTTCTCTTGATACAAATAAGGGGAAATGAACTATTCTCACTGGCATCTTTAAGTTTTTGTGCTCCACTCCAGGACAATACCGATCAGGTTTTTGAAGGCTATTTCAATCTTCACTAGCAACAAGTTATTCACTAAAGCAAGGTGAAGGTTATCTAGGACCACAGTACCCAGAAAACCAGCAAGGGAGGAGAATTAATACACCCCAATGCCTCTTGAAAGCAGGTTCAACAAGAAGGACAGAGTTGACTGCAACAGGATCTCCCAGGGAGCCTGCTAAAAATACAGATTCCAAGCTTCCAACTTCAGAGATTCTGATCCAGTAGATCTGGATCAGGGCCAAGTCAGGGAGCCAGTGCATTGATTCAACAACTATGTTCTGTGAATGTGAAAAGGAAGATTGGCATTTACAGAGCTACTGCTAAAGGAAATAGTCTTCCAAACAGCTGAAGAAGGCTAATAAACCTTTCCCTAGCACCAGTGTCAATAGAAACCTGAGTAGACCAAACTTTGTGGGTTGGATTATATCCCCGCAAAATGTATATGTTGAACTCCTAACACCCGGGACCTCAGAATATGACCTTATTTGGAAATAAGTTCATTGCAGATGTAATTAGTTAAGATCAGATCATACTAAATAGGGTGGTCCCTAATCCAGTATGACTAGTGTTCTTATAAAAAGGGGAAATGTGGACATAGACGGGGTATTCAGTGAAAACACCATGTAAAGAGACACAGAGAGAAGGCTGCCATCTATAAGTCAAAGAGAGAGCCTTGAACCTCACAGGGCTCAGCCTCGGAGCACTGACAAACCTGCTGAGACTTGGATCTCAGACTTCTGCCCTCCAGAACTGTGAGACAATACATTTCTGTTGTTTAAGCCACCTGGGTTATGGCAGCCCTAGCAAACTAATACACTCAACATCATAGGGAAATAACCCAGCTACTCAGAGGATCTCAAAACTGAGACAGAAACTCTGAATTTCTCAAAGTTTCTCTACTGGAAATCCAGATGGCTACGGCAATATATGGGGTGTTCCAGTTACAAAATCCCCGGTGAAGTGTACTACGTTTGCCACTAGCTTTGTAGTACTCATCCGACAAACCACTCAGTGAACTCTTTTCTACAAAGAGGACCACTGACCCAGAACACCAGCTGGAATAAACTTGGAAATCAACAAACCCTACTTAAAACACTATTGTTACTTAGCCACTTATCAACTGTCACCTCTTTCATATTGGCTAAAGTTATCACAACCTCCCAACTTTATATTGTACCCACTCCAAATTAAGTTTAAAATTTAAAAAAAGCCCTCAAAAACAAACCAAACTCTTTTCTGGTATAAGTGTCACCTTGCTTTCCACCATTAACCTCTTAAATCATTTAAGTCCTAATTCATTTCTAAGTTAGGTAAATAGTCTAGGCTCATTAGTCTATTCTTGCTTACTAGTTAATTACTTTTATCTTTCCAAATTGATTTTAAAGGAGAACAAAAGGTATTGAGTAGCCTGAGAGGTGGAGAACCAACCCTATTAAAAAAGAAAATTCTGGATAGTGAAGACACACAATTCCTCTGATTAAAATTGCATTATCCAATTTGAACACAAAAAGCAGTTTAGACTTTTCCCTGGCACACTCTATAATGAGATTTGCCTTATGTCATGAAAATCAGCCCTTCTATGCCTAATGCAGCGTTTTGTTTTGCTGACTCACCACCACACCAGGTTGGCACTTGAGACAAACCTGCAGTGTCCTGGAACAAAAGTTTTTCAATGCTTTTGGAGGGCACACCACTTGTGACTGTGCCTGGGACAGAACAGACTGTTAGGCAGGAGAATGACCCTTTCTAGGAGAGATAATGTGCCAATTCCTGGGAGAGTCAAACTTCTCTATAATCCATAGTTCCCATCACAGAGCTCAAATCCCAGCTGTGTTCCAGGGTAGAGATGCAGAACCACAGAAGATAAGGAAATACATCATACATCTTGATTGAAAGCATACATAGAATTATGATTTGCATCACAAGGAGGCCCAGAGAAATACATCTGAATCTAACTACTCAGTTGGTATAAATAAATAATTCTTCACTATATGCTCCCTTAATAATTCAGGTGAAAGGGCCTGGCTTATAAACCTAAAGAGAGTTCCCATGACAGAGTCGTGTGTGTGTGTGTGTGTGTGTAATTTATACATTTATATATACTATACATATACACTACATGTATATTATATGTATTTTTTTGTTCTTTTATAAATTTTTTGCTGGGATCACAGGCATGAGCCACTGTGCCCGGGCTAACCAACTTTATTTATTTACTTTTTTCACTTTCTTCTGTTTTACGTATTCATTATTGTATATTTTTTATTTTAAGTTCTGGGATATTTGTGCAGAACGTGCAGGTCTGTTCAGCTCCAGCAAGTGAATTCTGCCAGAGCGATAAAGTCAAGGAATAAATTAAATAAGATGTACCTGCATTAACATTTGACCAGAATCCATGTAGTAAACTCTGACTTCTAACTATGTAGTAAACTATAACTTCTGGACAGGAGCTGACTCAATTTAGAACACTATTAAAAAGAAAATAAAATGTGTGTTAAAAGAGTTTTGCGTCAGTAAAGACTGAATCATCACTGGGGTTGAATCATTGCTGAGGGCTGAGTCATCACTGGAGGCTGGCTGAATCGTGCCTGTGTTTTGATGTTCTATCACAGAAGTTTAAAGCTTGACATGAATAGGTTAAAGCAAATCGCTCAAGTGAGAGAGAACGTTTCAAATTTAAAACATTTATTAAGAGAAAAAAAAGCTGTTAATAGCATAAACCAATTAGTTTTACTCAGACATTGTAGTTTGCCTTACTCAGGGGATGTAGTGATAGCGATATTCATAATAGGCAAAATCATGTAAATATTTACAGTGTTTCCAGCACTGGGGCCTGAACTCAAGGATTACTTTGAAAGATGAACTTAACAGCACTATTAAAAGGATAGCAAAGGTTAGTGCAGCATACAGAATTTTAAACAATAAGGGCTTATTCACATTTAGGCATTGCAACAGGCCCAAAGAAAAAGAGTGAGCAGGAAAAGAATCCTTGATATTACTGGCCAGCAAAAAAGGAAAAGGGCAAATGCCTTCCTTACCGCCCCGGCTTTCGCTCTGGTGGTACCCAGGCAACAGAATCCAACATCATGACCTTGAAAGGCAGAAGCGTAGTCATCCAACTTTTCAAAGTCCACCACTTCTTGATTCTAGGTAAGGACACAATTATATGTAGTTTCATGTTACTTAAACAACAGACCAAAAACTCCTCTAGATTTAAAGACTAAGTTACCGAACATTACTGATAGGCCTGTCCACTTAACATCATCAAATTGTACAAAGTCCTTTTCTCCAACCAAAAAGCAATGAACCTCAATTGAAAATCAACAATACACACGTATGTCCACAGTCCATATAGCTCATATAACTGGACTAGGGGTAGTCCAGATTTCTGAAGCCAGGTTCAATTATAATCTCTCTCTGGAAAAATAAAAGACCTGTGTGTAGCTTACCAGGAAGGAGACCATTGAGGTATGATGTGAGGGCAAGGGACGGTGTCTGGCATCTTAAAGAAGACCTGGCTTCAAATCTTGTGCTTGCTACTCACTAGACATGTAATTGTGGGAAGTTATTCATCATACACTACAGCTTTTTTTTTCAGCTGTAAAATGTGGGTGATAATCTTTCCTTCAGTCCAATCCATGAACCATTTGCATTATAATTAGTCAAGGAGTGCTTGATAGAAAGGCATATTCCTACATCCCACACCAATAGTTCTGAATCAGAGTCTGCATTTTTTTTTTTTTTTTTTTTGTTTTTTTTTTTTTTTTAAGCAGCAAGCATTTATTCTTCACAGTTCTGGAGAATGGGAAGTCCAAGATCAAGGTGCTGGCAGATTCAGTGTCTGGTGAGGGCCTACTTCCTCAGTTAACAAGTGATTATCTTCTTTTTTTTTTTATGTCTGCATTTTTAACAAGCACCCACCTTAATTTTCATGCACACAGAAGATTAAGAACCTCCACCTAACCTTATAAGTTAGCTGTATAACTTAAAAAAGAAAGCATGATAAATTTCTATCATCCAGGAATTCAGATAAAATGTTAGTTTCCATCCTCACCATCAACTCTGAAAAGAGTTTTTTTGACACTGCATACACTAAAGAATATAAATAGAGTTTCACAAAGTACCTAGTCAAAAGATGTGCCATCAAAACTGGACACTCAAAGCACGGATTTCAATTTCAGTTTCTTTCTTTTTTTTTGAGATGGAGTCTCACTCTATCACCTAGGCTGGAGTACAGTGGCACAATTTCTGCTCACTGCAACCTCCATCTCTCGGGTCAAATGATTCTCGAGCCTCAGCCTCCTGAGTAACTGACATTACAGGCAGATGTCATCATGCCTGGCTAATTTTTGTATTTTTAGTAGAGACGGGGTTTCAGTGTTTGCCAGGATGGTCTTGAACTCTTGACCTCGAGAGAGCTGTCTGCCTCAGGCCTCCCAATGTGCTGACATTACTGGCATGAACCACAGCGCCCAGCCTTCAATTTCAGTTTCTAATTATTCTGAATATCTGACACAAACAATGAAGCCGGTAAGAACACATTACCTGCCTTTGCCTGATCAAAGATGTCTGTTTTAAATAGACAAGTCCTGATGGACCAAAGGCATTCACACCTCAACACAGACCTGCGATAATTAAGAACATTTATTTGCAAGATGGCTTGTTATTTGAAATGTTCTTCCTATGAAACCTGTGGGGCCAAATTCTGTAGTTGTGGTATCTTGGGATCACCCTATATTAATTTCTTGCAGTTCACAGATAATTCCCTTTAATTAAAGAACAGAATCTCCAAGAAACTCAGGCTTCTGACATTTAGGGAGCCATGACCATACAGAAGTCTGGTATATCATTTCTATAATCACGAAAATGTAACTTGGGCTGGGCGCGGTGGCTCATGCCTGTAATCTCAGCACTTTGGGAGGCTGAAGCGAGAGCATCATCTGAGGTTAGGAGTTTGAGACCAACCTCGCAAACATGGTGAACTCTTGTCTTTTCTAAAAATACAAAAATTAGCTGGGCGCAGTGGGGCATGCATACCTGCAGTCACAGCTACTCAGGAAGCTGAGGCAGGAGAATCACTTGAACCTGAAAGGCAGAGGTGCAGTGAGCAGAGATCATGCCGCTACACTCCAGCCTGGGGAACAGAGCAAGACTCCATCACACACACACACAAAAAAGTGTTAACTTTGAGTGAAGGGAATATTCCATTTCCAGACACAAGCCTGGGAAATCGGGCAAGGCAAGGTTATTCCTATAAGTGAATAACCCCACCTTTCACTGCCACAGACCTTTCTCACTCTGCAAAGCAGTTTCAGAATTCCTGACATTAGTGTGAAGTGCACAGGTTGACAAAATCAGCAAAGTGGCTGAGAAAATTGTCAAGGTCACCTGGGCTACCTCTAGAAGCCAGCTTGTAGGACCCTGGAAACAGTGCTCTTCTCTCTCAGCAGCCCCCATCCACATTACAACCCAGACCCAGCTCTACAGGGCTGCCAATGGAGAGAAGGGCTTTGCCCGAAGCCACACAATGAGAGGGAGGAGGGCACACCTGGGCTACAATCCAGGAGTCGGACTTCCGGGTGGGACTCTCACAGACTACTATCGGCCAAGTTTTGACGGCCTCTCTCTACCCCCACCACTGGCAGAGCAGTGTTCAGCTTTTAGGCATGAAATATGTTCACCTCGCGGAGTCACTGGGGGTCCATTTGAGTCCCAGCTCAAATACCCACCACATTTTTATAAGCTTCCTCCTCGAAGGTGAGCTTCCTCCTGCCAATGAGCGTGACTTTGGAAAACAAGGCCTGCTCCAGGATTTCCCTTAAGAGCACTCTGCCGGTTTCTCCGCTGGCCCCCAAAATAAAGACGGATTTATTCTGCATCCTGAAGTCTTCCCGAAGCTTCGACAGTGCTTCCGTTTCGGCCATGCTGGGGAAATAACATGGACAGTTGCCGGTCTTAGGCTGTCAGGGGACTGCCCGTCCCTCCCCGAGGAACAAGGGCTGTTTATCTGTTCGGGAGGAGGATATTGTTATTCTCCGCAGTCCCGGCCCAGGGGAAAGTGCTGAGTCACGTGCAGGGCGCGGCTGCTGGGCCATCCCCGCACCTGAGCCAGCCGACCCATCCGAAGGGGCCCGAGCTGGAGGGTGCGCCCAGGTGCCACAAGCTACTGGCACCACAGGGCATCCCCCACGGTATCCCCGGCCCAGCCACGAGTCCGGGCCCAGCTCGGTCCCTGACGCGGAGGCGTTACCTCGGGCCAGCCCCCGGCCCCGGGTCCCCACGCCGCAGCAGGAGCAGGGCGGCCACCAGCGCAGCCGCCGCCGCCGCGCTCACCGCCGCAGGCCCGGCCATCAGAGCATTCCCACCTTCCCTGGTCGACCCGGGGGCTGGAAGGGACGGGGCCAGCGCCTATCGGGCTCGGTCTTCCGGGTGGCCTCGCGGCGACGCTGCCTCGCCCCGCCCACAGGGGCGGGACCTGGGGACGAAGTCCCGGGACTCGTACCGGCGCGGGGAAGGTGACCCCGAGAGCACGTGCGCAGAGCCGAGACCTTTCCTAAGTCAGGAATCTGCAGGACCCTCTCCCCGCGTTTTCCCTCACCTGCTGGGCTCAGCTCACCCAGGCCCCAGCTAATAGACTTCCCAGACTTGATCTTCAACGGCCCCCCAGGAATGTCAATTGTATATTGGCCATCACCTCAAATTAACCGTATCAAAAACTTAACCCTGCCCACCCAACCATGCCAACCACCCCAAACAGGAATAAAACAAACCTATTCCTAGCGTCTCTTAGGTGTCACTGTCCACACACACACACACACACACTCACCTCCTTCCACCCTGTCAAGTCAGAAATCAGACTATCTCATTTGACTTTTTTTTTCCTAGCCTTTCCACACTACAGATTCAAGTCCTGTTACCCCATCTGCCTTACAAATATTTCTCCCATGTAATTCAAGCTCCCATCATATCTCCACAGTGTAACTGGTCTCCCTGCCCAAGAACTGGCCTACTTTGGTCTCCTAGATGGTTGAACCCCGGGTTACCTTCCACACCCGTGATTCAGGCTTCAAAGCCCGGATCAGTGGTTTGGAACATAGCTATCTATACTGGGCGCCTATCCTGGGTCTTGGAAGTCCTGAACAGAGATTAGAATGACAAGCAGGAAATCTGAAAATTTCAGATTGTTCAGGTTGTGTTGGGAACATTGGTCATTTGGGAGCCCCATCTCCCATCTAGAAGCCAATGAAACACATTCCCTCTTCCATCTCCTTGGTAGTTATTATATGTAGGCTTTGCCTAGGCTCAGTCAACCAGAGGCTCCCACATACGTTTTTCAGTTTTGGAGAAGTAATGAAAAGATGCAGTAAAGGCCTGAGATAGATGTGGGTTGGATGGGGCAAGGGTATAAGGTGATGGCGTCATATGATCCACCAGCCATCTGATGGTCTGATCTTGTCTGGTTTTCCTTCCTTAATTCCTGTCTGTTTTCAGAGACTGTTGTGAATATGCAGAGTACTCACAGTAGTACTTCCTGTTAGTCTTCTGATAAATTCCTGTACAGTACAAGTTTACCAGAAATATTTTGTTGTTTGTAATCAAAAAGCTTCATTGAGATAGAGCAGTGTGGTTCATTCCCCACTGGCCTATCTCAGTGCTTGGGCTCTTCCCTTTGAGTTCCTAAAGGTTTTCTATGAGAATAAAATATTAAACCTTGACAGCAAACATTGTCCTAGTAATTCATTTATCAAATCTGTCACATAAATTATTCACTGTACCCTAGTGTCTGTTCTCTCCCTTTGTTGAAAATTGTGGCATAATTAATATACAATAAAATGTATAGATCCTAAAGATTCTGTTCCATGATTTTATAAAATTGTATATACCCTTAGGTAGCCACCACCAAAAACAAGATAGAGCATGTCTGCCATCCTTGAAAGTGCCTTCATTCCTTTCTTGGCAATCCCTTCCACCCCAGAGGCAACCACTTTCTGGTCACTATCAACATAGATTAGTTTTGCCTGTTCTAGAATTTTATTTAAGAATATAGCTGTACTCCTTTGTGTCTCAGGTTTTTCGCTTAACACATATTTTAAGATATTTATTTGTTTGTAGGGCTGCATTATGATTTCTGTGGGCCCTAAGCACTTCATGAGCCCCTTCATTTTATACACACATGCACACACACACACACACCACATTTATAGAATCAAAAATTATGTCTATGACTATATACTTATAAAGATGAATCTGACAATATAATAAACATTTTCCTCCACCTAAATGTTTATTTTCACAGGCCCCAGAACCATGCCTACTGTGTCAAATGAGTAAATCAGCCTTGGTTGTTTCATGTATCAGGTATTCATTCGTTTTATTATTGAGTGGCCTTCCAGTATTCCAGTATGAATATCCCACAACATGTTTAAACATTCTCCTGTTGATGGACATTTGGTTTGTTTCCACCTTTTGGTTATTCTGAATAAGGCTCCTATGAACATTTTTGGACCAGTCTTTCTGCAGGCACATGTTTTCATTACTCTTGGATGTATTTTTTTCTTGAGATGGGGTCCCACTCTGTTGCCCAGGCTGGAGTGCCATGGCACAATCTTGGCTCGCAACAACCTCCACCTCCCAGGTTCAAGCTTTTCTCCCACCTCAGCCTCCTGAATAGCTGGGATTACAGGTGTGCCAACATGCCTGGCTAATTTTTGTATTTTTAGTAGAGTCGGGGTTTTGCCATATTGGCCAGGCTAGTCTTGAACTCTTGACTTCAGGTGATCCACCCACCTTGGACTCCCAAAGTGTTGGGATTATAGGTGTGAGCCACCATGTCCAGCCACTGTTGGACATATGTTTTTATTACTATGATCAAAGAATTCTCTAAGATAGATGTATCATTTTATATTTCCACCCACATGGTATCATCAGTCTTTTAGCTTTGACCAGAGTCAAATAGCTCCTTATCTCTCATTTCTCTTACTTTTTCTTTTTCTTTTCTTTTCTTTTTTCTTTCTTTTTTTTTTTTTTCTGAGACAGAGTCTTTCTTTGTCACCCAGGCTGGAGTACAGTAACATTATCATGTCTTGACCTCCTGTGCTCAAGTGATCCTCTTGTCTCAGTCTCCTGAGTAGCTAGGAACACAGGTGTGCACCACCATGGCCAACCAATTTTTAAAAATTTTCTGTAAAGACAGGATCTTGCCATGTTGGCCAGGCAGGTCTTGAAATCCCGGCTTTAAGCCATACTCCTGCCTCAGCCTCCCAAAGTACTAGGGTTACAGGTATAAGCCACCATGCCTAACCCTGCCTTTCTTTTAGCAATATGGTCGATAGGTTTATTAGAACATGTGGCTGCCCATTAAGATTTTATATTTCCTAATATCACTTGCTAGCTAGCATGACCGCGTGACAATGATTTACCCAATGAGATGCAATCAGAGGTCATATGTGCAGATTTGAATCACATCTTTATACAGAAGTGACCTTTTTTCCCTTCACTTTCCCTTTCCTCTTTTCCTGAGGCCAGAATGTGTATGTACTGGTGAACCAGCTCTGATCAGGAGGAGAAAGACACCCTATAGGGAGAGCAGAGCAAGGAGTCCTTGGATGACTTCATAGAACAGGGCTGAGAGAAAAATAAACTTCTGTCATATTGGAGCCACTATAATTTTGTTACAGCAGCTTAGCCAGCGTTTTGCCTAATGTAAGATTCTTTTAAGTCGATCTTGTCAATGGATATTTACTGATTATCTAATGTGAGCCAGATACTGTGCTAGGCACTATAGATTTTTTCAAGATGAGTCAGACACCAGCCAAACTCACTCTTGTCTTGAAGGCAGTCATAAACACTTGGAAAGCTAAATAAAGTTAAGCAACATTAAAAAATATCCCCCAAACTTTCATAGGGTAGCACATGCTGAATGCCAAAATGAGTGTACAGAAATAGAAGGAAATGCAGAGAAAAACAAGTCCATGCCTTTCCTTCTCTGAAAGCTGGAACCTTCTTATCCAGGTGCTGAGCTAATGTGACAAGAACTAGGCTGCTAGAACAACCAGACCACGAAAATTCAGGGCAAAGGGGAAGGGGAAAGCATAGGAAAGGAGGGAAAGGGGACATAGGGAAACAGAGGTAGCATGGAAAGATCCTTGGCCAAAGACCTGCCTGCCACGTTCAGGTTTGCTTTTGATCAAGTCTCTTTACATATCTTGGCCTCCATTTCCTTATCTGTAAGATGGGGACTGCTGAATTACATTGATTTTGCTCCAAGGAACAGAGACTGACTCATGTTGACTTGAGTAAAGATGGTGAATATTCTAAGGCTACACACCATGTACAAGAGAGACAGAATCTCAGAGAAATTTCAAAACAGGATCTGCTGTAGGATGGGGACTTAAGGAGACTGGAACTGTATTTAGGTCAGATTTAGAATCCTCAGGATCAGGGATCCATGCATCTTCACTTCAGAGTTGTATATATATATATATATATATATATATATATATATTTGAGACAGAGTCTTGCTCCTTCGCCAGGCACCAGGCTGGAGTGCAGTGGCGCAATCTCAGCTCACTGCAATCTCCGCTTCCCAGGTTCAAGCAATTCTCCTGCCTCAGCCTCCCAAGTAGCTGGGACTACAGGCGCACGCCACCATGCCCAGCTAATTTTTGTATTTTTAGTAGAGATGGGGTTTCACCATGTTGGCCAGGATGGTTTCGATCTCTTGACCTTGTGATCCGCCCGCCTCAGCCTCCCAAAGTGCTGGGATTACAGATGTGAGCCACCGCGCCCAGCTAGAGTTATATTTTTAGTTATACCTTCATTAAGAGTTTGTTTCAAAGCGTTTGAAGCCCCAACTTAAAATGTCTTGGAAAACAAAACAAAACAAAACAAAACAAAACAAAACAAAGGAAACGCCCTGGCTGATGTAACTAAAGAATTAGTGTATATAGTAGTTTTGGGCATGACCAGAATCAGGCAGTCAGCCAATGGGGCCAGGACCCAGTCCCTCTCCTAACCTCGGCTCTACTTTCCTTCATGTCGGTCTATCTCTCAGACCCTGCAGGATGACCCAAAGGCTGTACTCCTCCTCACACTGTTCATTGTCTAAATTCAACCAGAAGCTAGAGGGAACTTTTACTGCGCAGACCAGTTTTCTTCAGGGCATACAGTAAGGTGGAGAAATAGCAGAAAATGGATGATTGAAGCTATCAAGTACATCCTCCTAGATTCAAGAGCATAATTGCAAGCAGAAGTCTCCAGCTGTATCTCCTTAGTTCTGATTAAACCTCCCGACTGTCTCCATGGCTCTGGGAATGAAGCCGAGTGTGCTCTGTCTCCCCACATGTCTGAGAGTAGGGGAGGATGTACTGTCCACAAGGAAAGTAGAGGTCACTATTATAGAGAAAAAAGAGAACGGATGTTAAATAGCATCTAAAGTGGCCAT